TTTTGATGTTTTTGGTCTATTCTGATGATTTTTCACAGAATCCGCCTGTAGGAGGACATGCCCGACCTAATCCCGATCCCGACCCATTCCCCTTCTCCTTGTGCCTTTTTTCTGGTCCCTGTCATCCGTGAGGGCTTCGCCGCCTGCCGCCAGCCCCCTCTCTCGGAGAATGGGGCATGCAAGAGCTACGTTGTAAGGCCTGGGCGCCGTCGTGAAGCAGCGTCGGAGCTCCGACCGGTGGCCACTGGAGATAGGAGCGTGCCCATCAGAAACGTGAGATCGCAGATGGTGGTCTCTTGGGCCCCTCCCCTCTTCCGGGTGCTCTTGGAGCGCTCTTGGGGGCTTCTTGGAAGACCCTTGGGCCGTCTTGGGACCATCTTGGGCGCCTTCGAGCACTCTTGGGCCGTCCTGGAGGCCCCTTGCACGGTCTTGGGGGCTTTTTATAAAGGATTGCGGCTTCGAGACCGCGAATGTTGTACACTTTACGAGGGTTGATGATGTCGGGGACGCGAAGAACGTGTAATTTACGAAGGTTCGTGGCTTCGGGGGGCACAACCACCGCATACTTCACGAGAGGGTTGCCAGGGAGGCAAAATTGCATAATTGACTATGAATTATGGTCTCGGGAGCGCGAACACAGCATACATTGCGATGGTTTATGGCCTCGGATTGTAGCCTCGGGGGCGCGAGTTTGGCGTAATATACAAGGGATTATGGCTTCGGGTGCGCGAATCTCAGGTATTTCTACGAATCCCTCCAGGTGAAGGTAACCAGGGCCCTTTTCGGCTCCCCCCCTCGCGCGGACTTTAACAGTTCACAGTAGGAAGCACAACACAGAATGTTAACATCGGTGGCTGAAGCTAGAGCAGGGAGCAGCAAGCCTAAGTCGTGGAGCCTTTAGGCTCCGCAAGGGGGGCGGCGGATTCCACTTCATTCTCCAAGTATACTCTGCCTACGGAATCTTGATTTGTTGTTCAAGAACCAATTGGTCTTGCTTCCTGACTGCCAAGCAACGCCAAGAAACGCCAATCATCGCCAAGCAGCGCAAAACAATGCCAAGCAATGCCGAGCAGGCATAAGCAACGCCATGCAACGCCAAGCGTCGCCAAGCAATGCAAAGCAACACCAAGCGTCGCCAAGCAATGCAAAGCAACGCCATGCAACGCCAAGCATCGTCAAGCAATGCCGGGCGATGCCAGGCAATGCAAAGCAAAGCCAAGTAATGCCAAGCAGCGCCAATCACCGCCAAGCAATGCAAAGCAACGTCAAGCATTGCCAAGCAACGCCACGCAATGCAGAACAGCGCCAAATAATGCTAAACACGCCAGCAACCACCAAGCAATGCCAAGCAACGCCAAGCAATGCAGCACAATGCCAAGCACATCAAAGAGATGCCAAGCAAAGCAACTCACTGTCTTCGTTTCATGGTTGTTTACTGAAGTCGGGTGTTCTCCTCTAAATAGGGCTCGCACCAGGCTTCTTCTCTTTGCTTCGACCAAGTATCCACCGTGTGTCCCATATACTCGTAGTCGTGCTTGCTCCTTACTCCTTACTCCCCCCCGCTCATTGTGCCGTCGACGAGGGTCAACGATCGTCTCCGCCATCCCTGATCAACACAGTGTAAAGTGTACATGGCGGCACCCGCCAGGCAATACGTGCCTCCCCCATGATCGCTGACAAACGTCAGCGCCACGTGCAAGTCGCGCCTCTCGTGGTCAGCCAGGTGCTGCCAGGGCCTGGGCAAGAGCGTGGTCTTAAAGCGCGCACGCAGGGCAGTAATGGAGGATGACGGTTAACAAATGACCGGGGGTCGTGTTCACGCGGCGGCGCCCGGTATGACGATTAGAAAAAATTCAGCCCCGGGCTGGAAACAACATATTTTTTGTCATCGTTCTCCTCTGGTAAAAAACTGCAGAAATAACAGGGGACTATTTTTTTTAATCGTCCTCTCCCATTTTTTTATTAATCGTCATCCCGCAGTATGAGGGCCTCCCCCACCGCCGCCGGCAGAGCCCAGTGCAGAGTGGACGCCGCGTCTCTCCCGCTGGGCAGGCGAGGCAGCTGCCAGCAGGTGCCCCCACGGAGGTGCCGTATCCCCTTTGTACCCCTTGGGGCCAACAGAAGCTTCGGGGCATTCCCTCCTCCTCCTCCTCCTCCTCCTCCTCCTCCTCCTTCCATTCCCTCCTCCTCCTCCTCCTCCTCCTCCTCCTCCTCCTCCTCCTCCTCCTACCCCATGACCAAGAAAAATCGACGAAGAGGGTTACTTCTCGTAGCGGGCTGGCTTGCCGTGTTCGTCCAGTGCGCCAGGATGTGGGCAAGAGTGTGGTCATCAAGTGCGCGTGCAGGACACCGGGGGGGCGCTTGGCGCAGTTGCCGCACTGGGCGCCGCCGACGCACGCCGAGTCCGTGCTTCGGTGCGGATCGTAAGCGCACCTCGCCTTCGTCGCCGTTGTCATTGTCGCCGTCGCGGTCGCCGTCGCCGTCGCCGTCGTGGCATCGTCGTGGTCTTGTGCGTGTTGCGCTGCTCGGGATCCCTTTCCCTTGTGCAGCCGCTACCCCCCCCCTTCCCCTTCCCCTCCTCCCTTCCGCTCCCCTCCCTTGTTATCTCCTCCCTTCCCCTCCTCCCTTCCCCCCCCCTTCCCCTCCTTCCCCTTCCCCCTCCCTTGTTATCCCCTTCCCCTCCTTCCCCTCCCTCCCTCCCCCCCCCCCTTCCCCTCCTCCTTTCCGCTCCCTCCCTTGTGATCTCCTCTGGCAAGAGGGCGTGGCCGGCGGCTTCGTGCCCCTGGACTTCTCCGAGGCGGGCCTGTGCCAGGGCTACCGTGGCCAGATGGGCCACGAGTGCGCGGGCACCCTCAGCCCCCCCCCCTACACAACTGCGAGTCTCCCTTTCTCGGGGGCGGAAAAGAGGGGGGTGACGACTAGGGGGGGGTGGATTTCATGGCGTGGGCCATGATATTTCCCCAGATTTCATGGCGCCCCTTCTTATTTCATTACGTCCTTGGCCCCCCCGCTGGGCCGCGCACATGCCGCCGGTCATGATTTGCACCCCCCCCCTCTTGGACACCCCCCTCTTGGCCGCTCCCGACTTTCCTAGGAGGGAGTAGAGGATGAGGATGAGCAGGAGCAGGAGCAGGAGCAGGAACAGGAACAGGAGGAGGAGGTCAACAACGACAGCGGGCGCCAAGAGGAGGATCTTGTGTGGGTGGTGCCAGTGTGACCAGCAGTACGAATGTCTGTACCAACGCGAATGTTTGCGTACTTTCCGTCTGTGTAAGATCATGGTGATGAGTACTCGCACTCGCATTCGGATTCACATGCGCGTAACTGTGTGTATGAGTGTGCGCTCGCTTCTGAGTATTTGTATGGGTACGTGTGCGGCTACCATTAGGAGTCCGGGTAGGAGTGTGCGTACGAGCACGAGTACGTTCACGAGTATTCATGAGCATGAGCATGAATGGGAGCGCGAGTACGAGTACGAGCACGGCCAGGTGGCCAGTAAGAGTTTGATGGTTGGGTACGGGTATTGACGTGGTGTAAGGGGTTCAAAGGAAGCAGGAGCATGACAGCGACAGCGAACTGCAGTCGGGAATTTTAGCTTCGCGTATCGTGGCGCCGGCTCTGGCCCACTGCGTTTCGGCACGACACGTTAGACACGTCCCGTTCCCCGGGCGTCAACGTCCCCAGCCAGTCCAGCTCCCTGCCCCGCGGAGCGGAGCGGCTCCCTATCGATCCGCTCGCAGGGCATCGCGTGTCGCCAGGGCCGCCGCCACGACACGCTAAGCTCAGGAGGGGAAAAAACACACAGACACAAGTAATCGTCGACTCCCATGAAAGTATGGGAAAATATGGGAAGTGGGGGGAAGACAGAAACCCAGAAAATGTGGGAAAACATGGGGACTCCTGTTATTTGTGTGTATTTGTTTGTGTGTCCCAGGGCCCCTTCATAAGCCACAGCTGCTGACCGTGGGGAGTCTGAATTGGCTTGGGAGCGTGAGCAGGAAGAGGAGTGCGAATGTGAGTCAGGGCTGCACCTAAACGGTGTTTTTTTTGTGATTCCGCGGGCCGTTGTCGTTTCGACCTCGTGTCGGGTAGAAGGCGGATTCGAGACAGAAGCGAGGGAGAACGAAAACAGAACGAGAATGAGAAACACCGTTCAGGTTCAGCCCCGATGTGAGTCGTCGCCAAAGGATAGGGAGGACCAGAGTGGCTTCGGCGCGTGTCGCCCATGCCGTGCGCCTTCTTGTCCCGGGCTCCTCCTCGCAGGGCCGTCCAGGCTCCCTCCTTCACCACGGCCACTGTCGCCCCGAATGGTCTTGGGTCGAAGAACAGACAAGCTGCATACAGTCGGGGCGTTGACCTAAGGAAGCTTAAATAAGGAACGAGGCCCCTTGATCCCAAAAGTTAAGCTTCGATTTCCCATCGAAAACCGCAGGAAAACCCAAGCCAAGCTGTAAAACAATCAAGGAACACCGAGCCCCTTCCCAACGAGAAGGGTTCCTTCTTCAGCGCCCTGACTGTAAACATGATGTCGCGGAGCTCTGCGCGGATTTCCTGGATCGGCGCTGGGACCCCCGGCGGCATCTCCAGCGCCGCGCCTGAGGCGCGCTCCGCGCGCCAGGGAGGGAGGGGTCCGGCGCCGAGCCGAGGAATCCCCGCGGAGCTGCGAGAAATCCAGTCTATGCCGTCTGTTGTTCCTCTGTTTGGGTCTCGCGTGCTCGCCATGAGTTTTGCGGCCTGGAGCATGACGTTCCGGTGGGCCCATGCGAGAGCGCGATGAAGAAACTGCACTCCTCACCTATGTAGCTTCTGGGTGGTGCGCTACGCAACATTACTTCTTCTCAGAAGTTTCATTCGATAGCACGGTCCCGATATCGGCTCGCCCTCTATCACTGTAATTGTCGAGGTCTTGCTACGGAGCGCACGGTGTTGGTGATCAGGCAGCCGAGTGCTCTTGTGAAAACGAGCCGCATCACGCATTGCGAGAGGAGGGGGAAGATGATGATGATGATGATGATGATGATGATGATGATGATGATGATGATGATGATGATGATGATGATGATGATGCTGATGCTGATGCTGATGCTGATGCTGATGTTGCTGATGATGCAGCTGTTGATGATGGTGATGCTGATGCTGATGATGGTGATGACGATTATGATGATGATGATGATGATGATGATGATGATGATGGTGATGATGGTGATGCTCATCATGACGATGATGACGATGCTGATGATGATGATGATGATGATGATGATGATGACGATGACGATGACGATGCTGATGATGATGATGATGATGATGGTGGTGGTGATGATTATGATGATGATGCTGATGATGATGATGATGCTGATGATGATCATGATGATCATGATGCTGATGATGATGATGATGATGATGATGATGATGATGATGATGATGATGCGGATGCTGCTGCTGCTGCTGATGATGATGATGATGATGATGGTGGTGGTGGTGGTGGTGGTGGTGGTGATGATGGGGTGGTGATCCGATACTTGTTGTAGTAGTTATATTATCAAACATGCTTGATTCCAGCCAAGCAGATGGCCCGCTATATCTTCTCTTTCTTGACTCCCGTTTCCATTCCTGGGTCTTGTGCAGCGGCTTCGCCTTTGTGCCCGCTTTTCTCCGCCGTGCGATGGCCCTGCTTCCGTCTTGAGTGAAAGCCTTGAGGGGGCGAAGACTCCGAGGGCGCGACCTGCCGTCGTCACCGTCGTCGGCGCCGCCGATTGCGACGACGGCGGCTCGACGACGACGACGAGGACGAGGGCGAGGACGACGACGACGACGAGCACGCCGCGGGCGTGGCACCCGGAGGGGGAGGGCGGCATCAGGGCAGGGGCGCCTGGCGGCGGCGAGGGCGGCGGGCGCGCCCGCGCTTGCCGAGAGCTCCCCGGGGTCCTTGCGGACTCGGGACCCCCGGGGGCCGCGCAGAGGAGGAGGAGGGAGGAGGAGGAGGAGGAGGAGGAGGAGGAGGAGGAGGAGGAGGAGGAGGAGGAGGAGGAGGAGGTCAGACGCGCCACAGCCTTAGGATTAAAATCCGCTCAACGACTAACTGGAGGAGGACGAGGAGGAGGAGGAGGAGGAGAAGGGGGAGGTCGGACGCTACAATCTCAGGATTTAAAGTACGCTCAACGTCAAATGGAAGAGGGGGAGGAAGAGGAGGAGGAGGAGGAGTAGGAGTAGGAGGTGGGGTAACAGGAGGAGGAAGAGGAGGAGGAGGAGGAGGAGGAGAGGAGGAGAAGGAGGCCAGAAGCTACAATCTTAGGATTCAAGTCCGCCTAACGTCAAAACTCCGCTCAACGTCAAAACGGATAGGGAGAAGGAACTGGAGGAGGAGGAAGAGAAGAAGGAGGAGGAAGAGGAGGAGGAGGAGGAGGAGGAGGAGCAGAAGAAGGAGGAAGAGGAGGAGGAGGAGGACGAGGAGGAGGGGAGGAATTGAAGAAGGAGGAGGTCAGACGCTGCAATCTTAGGATTAAAGTCTGCTCAACGTTAAAAAGGAGGAGGAAGAAGAGGAGGAGGAGGAGGAGGAGGAGGAGGAGAAGGGGGAGGTCAGACGCTACACTCTTACGATTTAAGTCCGCTCGACGTCAAACGGAGGAGGAGGAAGGAAGCGGAGGAGGAGGAGGAAGAGGAGGAGGAGGAGGAGGAGGAGGAAGAGGGAGAGGATGTGGAGAAGATGCAGGCCAGACGCTACAATCTTAGGATTCAAGTCCACTCAACGTCAAAACTCCGCTTAACGTCAAACTTGATGATGATGATGATGAGGAGGAGGAGGAGGCGGAGGAGGAGGAGGAGGAGCTGAAGGAGGATGAGGAGGATGAGGAGGAGTTGAAGAAGGAGGAGGTCAGGTGCTACAATCTACTTTTCAGAGTCTGCTCAACGTCAAAAAAGAGGAGGGGGAAGAGGATGAGGAGGATGAGGAGGAGAATACGGATGCCAGACGCTACAACCTTTGGACTAAAGTCCGCTCAACGTTAGATGATGAGGAGGAAGTATGAGGAATAGGAGGAGGAGGAGGGAGAGGAGGCGAACGAGGAGGAGAAGGAGGTCAGACGTTACAATCTTAGTGCTCAAGTTCGCTCAACGTCAAACTCCGCGCAACGTCAAAACGGATGAGGACGAGGACGATGAGGAGGAGGAGGAGAAATAGGAGGAGGAGGAGGAGGAGGAGGAGGAGGAGGAGGAGGAGGAGAAGGAAGAGGAGGAGGATGAGGAGGAGGGGAAGGAGGAGGGGAAGGGCTAGGAGCTGAATAATGAGGAGGTCAGACGCTACAACCTTAGGACTAAAATCCGCTCGACGTCAAGAAGGAGGAGAATGAGGAGGAAGACGAGGAGGGGGAGGAGGAGGATGAGTAGGAGGAGGAGGAGGAGGAGGAAGAGGGAGGAGGATGAGGAGAAGGATGAGAAGGTCAGACGCTACAATCTTAGGATTCAAGTCCGCTCAACGTCAAAAACTCCGCTCAACGTCGGATACGAATACTAACAGGAAGAACAAGCAGAATACCAAGACACCATAAGAAGAGGAGGAGGAGGCGGCTCGTGGTGGCGGCGCTGGCCCCTTCAGGCACCGTTGTCCGCGTGGGCGAGGGCGTCCACCACCTGAGCGCCGGGGACCGCGTTGCGCTGGAGCCTGGGGCGCTCGGGTGTTGCAACGCTGGCGTGCAGCCCAAGCCCAGGGAGGTCATGCGATGGAGGAGGTGGAGGAGGAGGAGGAGGAGCAGGAGGAGGAGGAGGAGGGGGGGGGGAGGAGGAGGAGGAGGGAGGATGAGGAGGAGGAGGCGGAGAGGGATGAGGATGATGATGCTGAGGAGGAGGAGGAGGAGGAGGAGGAGGAGGAGGAGGGGGAGGAGGAGGAGGATGTCCGCGGCTCCAGAGGGAGGAGGAGGGGAGAAGTGTCCACGAAGCGACGCCACCGCGCTGGCCCGCTCTGCGGCCAGCCGGTGGCCTGCTCAGCAGGGTGAGGAGGATTGAAGATGAGGATGAGGATGAGGATGAGGATGAGAATGGGGATGAGGAAAATCATACACCTGTTGCTGATGCTGATGCTGATGCTGATGCCGACGACGATGCTGAGGATGAGGATAGTGATGATGGTGGTGAGGATGCGAAATATTATGATGAGGGTTGTAGTGATGAGGCTGATGATGCTGATGATGATGTTGTTGATGATGAATAGAAGGAGGAGGGTGAGGATGGTGACTCTGATGCTGATGATGATGATGCTGATGATGATGAGGAGGAGGATGGTGCTGCTGAACATGATGCTGCTGATGACGATGCTGATGCTGCTGATGCTGATGATGATGCTGCTTATGCTGTTGATGGTGACGCTGATGATGATGCTCATGCTGATAATGCTGATGCTGCTGCTGCTGATGATGCTGCTGCTAATGATGACGACGCTGATGCTGATGCTGATACTGATTAGGAACGGGAGGGTGAGGATGAGCATGCTGATTATGATGATTGTGATGATGAGGATGCTGATTCTGATGATGCTGCTGGTGATGAACCTGATGCTGCTGCGGACGATGACGAGGCTCAGGACGATCATCATGATGATGCTGATGCTGCTCATTATGTTACTGCTGATGGTGATGGTGATGATGATGCTGCTGCATCGGATGCTGAGGCTTATGATGATGCTGATGCTGCATCGGATAGTGATGCTACTGATGATGATACTGCTGATGATGATGATGATGCTGCAGATGATGATGATGATGATGATGATGATGATGATGATGATGATGATGATGATGATGATGATGCTGATGCTGATGCTGCTGATGATGATGATGCTGATGACGATGATGATGATGATGATGCTGATGCTGATGATGATGATGATGATGATGATGATGATGATGATGATGATGTTGATCATGATGATGATGATGATAATGCTGACGATGATGCTGGTGGTGCCACTGATGATGAAGTTGTTCGTCATGCTGGTCTTGTTGCTTTCGATGATGATGACCATGGTGATGATGCTGATGCTGGCGATGATGCTGATACTGATGATGAGGCTGATGACGCTGGTGCTGACGTTGATTGTGATGTTGATGCTGATCCTGATGATGATGATGATGATGAAGATGATGATGATGCCGATGTTGCTGTGTTGATGCTGATGTTGATTGTGATGATGCTGCTGCTGAGGATGATGACAATCATGCGAAGGAGGAGGACTGGTGATACCCATGATGATGATGATGCTGAGACGGAGGATGATTGAGGTGGAGGAAGATGATGTGGGTGACTGGGGAGGCCTCCGCAGGAGGAGGAGCCTGGAGCAGGATACAGTGCAGGGGCATGGCAGTGAAACGTGATGATGATGATGGTGATGCTGATGCTTATGCTTATGCTGATGCTGATGCTGATGATGCTGATGATGATGAAGAAGATGTAGATGATACTATTGATGATGATGACGGCGACGATGCTGATGATGATGATGCTGCTGACGATGATTATGGTGCTGGTGGTTGTGGTGGTGTTCATGCTGATGATGATGATGATGATGATGATGATGATGATGATGATGATTATGATGATGATGATGAGAAGGATAATGAGGAGGAGGAGGATAATGAGGAGGACGAAGAGGAGGAGGGGGAGGACGAAGAGGAGGGGGAGCTGGTACGTTCATAGACGAAGAGATCGAGTGCCAAGGGTTTGGGGGATACACGCTGAGTGTCACACGAGCAATGAAGAGCGTGCAGTCTCAACATGATTGCCGCTGTTGTGGGTAATGGGGACGGCTGGTGATGGGCAAATCTTCGATGAACATGCGGCTGCTGAGGCTTTGATCATGCTGATGACCATGGTGATGGTAACGATGATGGTGGTGGTGGTGGTGATGAGGATGCTGCCGACGACGATGAGGATGACGATGGCGACGAGAAGGATGACGAAGACGACGACAACGATATCGATGATGACGACGATACTGATTCTGGTTATGATGCCTTTGCTAATGATGACGATCATGCTGATATTGACGATGCTGATGATGGTGAGGAAGCTGATGCTGAAGGTGACGATGACGTTGTCGACGACGGCGACATCGATGATGCTGATGATAATGATGATGATTGTTGTGATGATGATGACGATGATGCTGATGCTGATGATGATTTTGATGCTGATGCTGATAATGATGCTGCTACTGATGTTGATGCTGATGCTGATGACGATGATGGTAATGATGATGGTGGATTTGCTGCTGCTGCTGATGTTTTTTCTGCATTTCTGCTGCTGCTGCTGATGACGACGATGATTTTGATGATGATGATGATGATGATGATGATGATGATGATGATGATGATGATGATGATGCAGATGATGATGCTGATGATGATGCTGATGACGATGATCAGGATGATGATGCTGACATTGCTGATCATGCGGAGGCCTCTTTTGATCAAGCTGACGATGCGACGACGGCGGTTAGTCTAGTGAGGAAGGTGATGCTGATGCTGATGATGATGATGATGATGTTGATTATGGTGATGATGATGCTGGTTATGATGATGCTGCTGCTGATTATGATGATGATGATGATGGTGATGGTGCTGATGATGATGCTGTTGATGATGATGCTGCTGCTGCCGCTGATGATGGTGATGATGATGATGTTGCTGATGGTCATGACGATGATGATGATGATGATGATGATGATGACGATGACGATGATGATGATGATGATGATGATGATGATGATGATGATGCTGATGATGATGATGATGATGATGATGATGCTGCTGATGATGGTGATGATGATGATGATGATGATGATGATGATGATGATGATGATGATGATGATGATGATGATGATGATGATGATGATGATGATGATGATGATGATGATGATGATGATGATGATGATGATGCTTATTATTATTATTATTATTATTATTATTATTATTATTATTATTATTATTATTATTATTATTATTATTATTATTATTATTATTATTATTATTATTATTATTATTATTATTATTATGATGGTGGTGGTGGTGATGATGATGATGATCATGATGACTAGGAGGAGGACGACTGCGCAGGCGTTGGAGGTGGTGGCGCGCAGCGCTCCCTCACCCAACGAGTCTTCATATTTGGATCCATGCTGCGATATCCGAGGTGCCCTGCGGAGACTGCAGGACGAGGGCCTGAGCGCACACGCAGGGCCAGATGCCTTTGGGATTGGACGTGCCTCGAGCTTGGTCGCCCTGGGCAAGCTCGCAGCACACGTCCGACCCTGCAGGCTTCTCTGAGCCTGCGGGCGCCGGGGCTCTCGAGCAGGGCGTGCCGAAGGGGGCGCTACAACCTGTGCACCAGCATGCGCTTCATCGGGTCGGCGGTGAACCGCGTGCCGGGGGCCATGTGCACCCACTTCAACCACAGCGCCTCCTATTCCGGAGGCCGGGACCACCTGCAAAGTCGAAGCCTTCCCCGGGGTCGGGCGCGAGGTATCTGGGCCGCGCTGCGCCCTCGTCGGCGGGCGGGCCCCGGGCAGTTCCCGTGCGAGCTTCTTGTGGCCGAAGGCTGGCCGCACGTAAGAGTGACCCTTCGCTGGTTCACCATAACGCTGCGGAGCGCGGCGTCCTCACGGCCCGCGACGAGGCTGGGCTGACAAGCCCACGCACCCGCGGGAGGCTAAATTTCCCTACTGCCGTCCTCTGGAGGGGGCGTTCCCCGTGGTGCGCGGAGCGCTGTCAAGGCGCTGAGATAAGTCAGGAATAACATCGGTACCAACACACATAAAAAGACGATGATTTGCATGATGAGCATATGGAAGTGGAGAGGAAGAGGAACAGTTGGAACATATTGCAAACATGGGACATCCTCCCCCTGGAATCGGGATCCTCCTCCTCCTCCTCCTCCTCCTCCTCCTCCTCCCTCTCCTCCTCCTCCTCCTCCTCCTCCTCCTCCTCCTCCTCCTCCTCCTCCTCTTCCTCCCCCTCCTCCTCCTCCTCCCCCTCCTCCTCCTCCTCCTCTCTCCTCCCTCCTCTCCTCCTCCCTCTCCTCCTCCTCCTCCTCCTCCTGCTTCCTCCTCCCCCTCTCCTCCTCCTCCTCCGCCTCCTCCTCCTCCTCCTCCTCCTCCTCCTCCTCCTCCTCCTCCTCCTCCCCCGCTTCCTCACTCCTTGCGCCTCGCTCATCGCTCCCGGCTGCGCGCTCCTCGAAGTTCGATTTGGCGTTCCTTCTGGCTCTGTGCGCTTTTTCTTTCCGCGCGGACCATCGAGGAGCCTCTCGGATGATCTCGCGAGAAAGAGGAAGAGGCACGCACGAAACCGAGCAGTGCACGGGGATTGGACGTCCGAGCGATGGCGAACCGGCAGCACGACGGCCACGTCCTCTCGGCCGTGCAGAGTGTTCTGGCCACTGGCCGTTGTTACAAGCTGCCCCCGCACGTGTCCCTGGCGGAGGGCGCCCTGCTGGAGCCCCTGTGCGTGTCCCTGCAG